TAGGACTTAGAGCCTTGTATTCCAGATTCTTAGTATATAGCTGTGATCTTGGTTTAGGAGATAAGGCCAAGAAAATGCAGAATATTTACTTCTATACATATTTATGCTAATGTCACAGACAGACAAGAATGATAAAGTCTCACCTATTAGGATTATATAATGGCTATATTTAAGATGTTTGATCTGAGGAGGCAGGTTGTTATTATGTACATGGTATACAATATATGAAAACTACTAGTCTAAACTCTGTGAGGGTGGGGATTATCTCTTTTTGGTCACTTTGTGTCTGGGATGTAGTAAGTGCCCCATTATGAGCAAAGAAACTGGTTAAACCCATGAATTAAGATAATGTAGATGTTTCCAGTATGTCTGTAAAACTAAAGAAGTAAATAAAAAATTACTTCTTAAAAAAAGTAAAGGCACTTTGAAGAAGGCTGATTAATTACAAATACTTATCTCCATTTCATTGTAGTATCTGATGAAAATTATATTAAAGGAAGCTTTTTGGAGTTCATGAGGGAATGAGAAAGAGAAAGAGGCCCTTCGCTGATAAGAGATTTCCATGAGTTTATGGAAGAGAGAGAGAGCAGGAGTAGGGGAAGCTGATGAAGAAGGATATAGGGATCTAGAGCTCCCAGCCCCACTGTCAAACACAATAGCCACTAGTCATATAAAGCTATTTAAATTTAAATGAATTATAATTAAATTAAAAATTCAGTTCCTCAGTCATGCAAGCCACATTTCAAGTGCTCAATAGCCATATGCGACTAGTGGTACTGTATTGGAAGCACAGATGTCGAACATCTCTATCGCCACATCAAATTCAGTTGTATAACACTGGCTTAGAAGATGGCACATAAGAATTCCCTAAGAACTTGAGACTCATAATTCCAAGTATGAGTAAGGAAGGGCGAGATTGAGACATGCTGCCCCCACCCGTGTCATCTGGCATTGCATGTGTAGCAGCCAGGCATCATCCAACCTCTAGACCCAGAAACAAATAAATAAATCAAAGTGTTCTTTAGAAACACTGAAGAACCTAGAGGGAAGACCTTCATGTATTTTGGCATATGAGAGCCTTCTTAACCTTATAATAATTCTATAATAGAGTTTTACAATCTGTAAAACTGGCCCACACACACTGCTTTTTACTGCCTGCATTTCTCTTAAAGACAACTTAGGATCACCGGACATTTAAGGAAACCTCCCAACATGGAAGAATATGAGCAAAGTAAAGAAATAAGTTACATTGGAGTGATGGAAAAAATCAGAGGAGCAGAAGAAAACCATAAAGTTATGTGTTATCCAAGATCAGAGAAAACAGGTAGATTAAAAACAAGAATAGGGCACTTTGAAGAAGAAATCATCAGAGACTGTCTTGGGTTGAAATTTAACTCCCACTGTAATTGTTGAGGGTGGAAAATCCTGTTATGGTAATTGAAAGGTGGGCCTTGAAGAGGTGATTAGATTGTAAGACCATGCCCTAGTACATGGATTAATAATGGTGGTCAAGGGTGTGGTTCTGAGGGCTTTAAAAGGAAAGCATGTGAGAGTCTCTCTCTCTCTGCTGTGCCATGTGAGACCCCTGCATTGTATAAAGCTACCACCAAAGACCCTCACCAGATGTGTCCCCTGGACTTTGAACTTCCCAGCCTCTGAAACTGTAAACGATAAATTTTGTTATCTTACAAAATACCCAGCTCTAGATATTTTTGTTATAAGCAACAGAAATGGACTAATACAGAGAACAAAAAAGATCCCAAGCAAATTAAAAGTAAGATTATCAAAATTAATATTTTATTAGAAGAGGTAGAAGATAAAATTAAGGTTAAGACCCAAAAAAGTAGAACAACAAAAAAGTTAAATATATTAAAACAGGAAAGAGAAGAGCCATAGGGAGAACAGTGAAAACCATGAAGCTATTATCAATAGTTTAAGAAAATTTCCCAGAACTGAAGAATACAGTGAATTTTTAAAAAAGAGCCACATCACGGCACATCATCATGAAATATCAGAATCATCAGTAATCTACAGACAGTCTTAAAAGCCGCCAGAGTTACTCACACACGCATACACATGCATACATGCACACACACACACACACACACACACACACAAATGCCTTCAAAGGAGTGAGAATCAAAGTAGTATCAAGCTTCTCATTAGTAGTGGATATTTAAAGATAATGGAGCAGTATCTTCTAGGTTCTGAGGGAAAGTGATTTTCAACCTGCAATTCTCTAACTAGCCAAATATCAATCAGTCAAGTGTAAAGATTAAAAAAAAAAAAAAAGACTTTTCCAGACAGGCAAAAACCCCAAAATTTTCTCTCTAGTACTCTTCCTTAAGAAGTTATCTAAAGATATGCTCCCTGTGAGAAATGCCCTCACCCGTCCAATGCCAAAGGATGGACATGGAGACACAAGGTACAGCGAAGCGAGACTTTAATTATGGCCTTGCAAAGCTCAGGTGTCTGAAGGGCAGGCACACGGAAAAGGGCTGTAACAAGCAATTTATTTCCTAGTACGGAAGTCCCTACCCCCGCCTCCTCACTGGCTGTGAGTACTACAGGGTGCATAATCTTCCCAGATGGCGCCTAAAATTTATTACCCCCTTGCAAGGAATTTCTTTGTCTGGGGGCTCAGGACAAACGGAAAAAGTCCAGAAACGGCAGGGAATGAAGAAAACAGTGGGTGCTAGTAACTAATTACCATGTCAAGGAGAGCCTTATCTGTTCAGAGACCCTCTGGGAAAATGAAGAAAACAAAAGAGGCTAGGAACTAATTACCATCTCAATAAAACACACTCAGATAAGTCATTTCTGAAAATGAATCACTTAGATTATTTTCTTACACTCCCCCAAAATGACAGAGGAAATCACAGACAAGGAAGGGAATAGGACCTTGGCCCCTTGCTCCCTACTCCTTGGCAGCCACATTGCTGTTCGTACTGTTCCTCGGGCACAGTAAGCTTTCTCCCATCCTGTTTTCTCTTTCTGGAATGTTTCTTCCCCAGGTATCTGCATGGCCCACTTCCTCATTTCATTCAGGTCTCTGATCAAACAGTCCCTTGAGCTTATTTTATTTTTTCATAGCACTTTCTCACCATCTGTTATACAAGAGGATACTTCAGAAAGTTTATGGAAAAATATGATTGAAAGATAATACAAATCTTACTATGAACTTTTTGAAGACACCCCATATTTGTTTGTCTGTATTCACCACCCCCGACACTAAAATATAATTTCAATAATAGCAGACAGTTTTTCTGTCTTATTTGTTGCTCCATCTTCAGTGCCTTGAACAATGTCTGGCATTTAGTAGGTGCTCAGTAATCTTTGAATAAATAAACAAATGAATGCTCTTGTTGCCAGAGGGGGCATGTTGCCTGACTCACTTGAATAAACAAATTAATTAGCTTGGACTTAGAAAACAGTGGGAATAACCCAAGAAGGTAGCAAAGGGAAATTCTAAGTTGGCAGTACTCCAGGTTAGAGTAGAAGTTCTGAGGGTCCTGACAAGAGGTCTCCAAGAAAAAAATGATTCAAAAGAATACCTGATTGTGTGGAAAGTTGAAAGAAAGAAAGAAAGACAGCTATAACAAAGACAAATATTGGAGACAGGAGCTATTATAAGAACAGAAATGTGGTTCCATACTCTACTTGGCTCAGCAGTGAACAATATTTAGAAATAAAAGTATAAGTGTATTATTTAAGTAATAATAGAGGAATTAAAAATAAGATATAAACATGTTGAGAAGATGGCAGGAAGGAATGTAGGGCTGTAAAAGTGAGCTAAATCCTTGTCTATCATAGCAGCTCAGCCAAAGTAATGAATAACTTACCATGAAATAGCAAGATGCTCAAATGTTTAGAGTTATGGATACAACTAGTAGAACAGCTGAAAGAGTTAAGAGAGGTTTCCTCTAGGGAATGGGTCTAGAAGTGGGAAACAAAGGGACAAGAATTTTTCACTATAAATATACTGTATTATTATTTGATATGTAACCTGTAAGTCTTAATTTTAGGTAAGGCTAACCATTAGATAGATAAAAATGGAATTTATGCTTTGAGACTATTAATGAAAAGAAATTTTTTAAAAGTCATCATCCACACTAAAGGTAGTGGAAAGAAGAGTTGGAAGGAACAAGAAAGCATAGGACATAGAAAACAAGACGACTGCAGTCAAACCAAATGTCTTTGATGTCAATATACCTGAGTATAAGTCCCTTTATTTAAGAGACTAAAACTTTCAAACTTTTTAAAGAAATCCACTTACTGATTTCCAGAGACATACTTAAAACAGAGTGGCAAAAGATTGAAAATGAAGGGAAAGACAGATATATGAGGCAGATAATGGAAAAAAGGAAGCAAAGTAAAATAATACTATCAGTCATAAGTGGAGTTCAGGACAGAAAGCATTGAATGAAAATGTTCTTACGGGTACAAGAATGCCATGTAAATTCATGTTATCTCTGGCTTTCTTCCTCTTTCCAGGTAATTGACATCTTGAAAGTGAGGGTCACTTTGCTCATTTTGCAATCAGTATAATGGGATTAACCCCCATTAAAAACTCCTCCCATTAAAAATTTAGAGATCCTTTAAACCTAGTTTAAAAAATAAACATTCCTTTTAGTTTCCTTTTCTAAAACATTGACAGTTTCATGTCAGTAACTGTGTGCAGTTGTCCTGGTATACATGATTTATCTGTAACAATTTGTGCTTCTAGTCCAAAGAACACGTATTCCTCAGGTATAACTGCACACATCGTGTGCTGTGGTCTCTGACATTAGGCTGTCGGACAGCTAAACTTTGCTATTGAGAATTCAGGCGAGGTTGAGAGAAGGATCTTTTGTAGGACATGCTGTTGTTGCCAGAGACTGCATGTTGCCTGACTCACTTGCCAAAAGAAAAGGGAGGAACGTGAGTTTAGTAAAATTAGTTTGACATTCGTGTTTGTTCTGTATATTCTAACTGTTTGACTTTTTATTTTTTAAATGTAGCAAATGCTGTTTACCTTGGGGGCCAAGAAATGATGGAGGTGGTGAAGAGAGATGATGAAACCATAAAGGAACATTTGTCTAAGGTAATCACTTTAGTGCTACAGGGGACAGCACTAAATGGGCAGAAATATTTACTGAGAACAGAAGACTAGAATTTGTTAGAATCCGTAAGACCTCAGGGGAGATAGAGTCAGACAGAGTTTTAGTTCTAGTTAAAATTAATGTTATCTTTGAAAGTTGCATAGAGAGTAGGTAAAGCTGATAGCATAGTTATCAAAGATCTTTTACCACCTGTTTTGTTGAATTTATTTTTAGAATTAGTATTTCTCTATTTTATCAATACATTTCAGCCTTTCTAGGCCTTGTCTTGAGAAGACTCAATAATATTTAAAGAATAAATGAAATATTTATATTCAGTATTTCATTATATTATAATAATATAATATTGAAATTATATTATATTGAAATATAAATAAAACACTGGAAAAGAACTAACATTACATATAACCTGATGAGCCTACCTTTCTTATTCTTCAATGCACCAGAGTAGGAATGTCCCTCTCTGACACCAAGAGCAGTTTTCTGAAATATTCAGTATTTGTCAATTACTCCTGCAAATTTTAGAATCTTGCAAAACATATTTGGAAGCACCAGTCTCTGAAACTATAAGGGGACTATGGTTTAGAATATCAGCACCCTAGAATTTGAGTGGCTTTGGTACTCCTGCAGCATCATTTGTCTGTCTGTCCATCCTAAATAGGATAGAGTCGCAGTGTTTATAATATGATAGTCACCTTGCCAAATGTGGTTATTTGTGGGTAATCTGAATTGAGATGTGCCATGAGTGTAAAATACACATTGGATTTCAAAAACTTAATACCAAAAAAAAGTTAAGTATTTCATTAATATTTTATATTGGTTACATGTTAAAATAATATTTTAGATATTTTAAATAAAAAATATTATTAAAAATAATTTTACACATTTCTTTATATTTTTTAACATAGTTACTAGAAATTTAAAAAAAAAAAAAAAAAAGATGACTGGTAAGGGCATCTTAACCCTCCGACTTTTGTTAGTATCGTCAGCACCACACTCTTCCCAGTGAGCTAACTGGCCATCCCTATATAGGGATCTGAACCTGTGGCCTTGGTGTTATCAAGCACCACACTCTCCCAAGTGAGCCAGGGGCCGGCCCTGTTACTAGAAATTTTTTTAATTACATATGTGCCTTGCTACTGGACAGCACTAATCTAGAGCTTTACAGTCAGTGCCATACTATGAGATCTCCTGGGTGCAATGAAATGATCCCTGCTGAGTCAGTAACTCTTACAGGGCCCAGGATCCTACAATCTGCAAGTACAGTCTTCCCGGCTGGGTTTAGAGTGTTTCATAAACTTTGAGATGTTTGACTTAAACTTGCCTACAGTGTTAATTCATATTTCTATAACCTCCCAATAGTTATCTTAAAGCAAGAAATGTATAGGTTCTTAAAAAAATATTTTGGAATATTGAAAATATTCACTCAGAGAGGACTGTCTTGTGGCTGTAATGGTCATCATGTTTCCAAAATAGCAATTGGCTAGAAATTGAAACTGTGAAAGCAGAAGGAAGCCTTCACTAGCTGAGTGGGAAGGGTCGGGGCCTTAGGAGGACCCACTCTCCAGGGCTTTCAACTTCTTCCAGTCATTGCGGGATGTGAAAATACAAGAAAAACAGTTTTTTATTTTTCAGTTAAATTATAAGTGAATCTGTTTCAAAAATGCATTTAAGTTCTCCAGGTTGGAAGTTCATAAAACAACTCAACTCCCAGTTAATAAAAGACTGGCAGATGCTCACTTCCAAAATTCTCACTTGCTCAATGACTAGACCCATCACGTGTCAGAGCCCATCTGACCACCTGTGGAAGCCAGCTGCTGTAAAATAGTCATCATTTCTGGATTCTCTTTGTATGCTGTGCTCAGAGAGAGGTCAGAGAAGAGTGCTAACTTATTCTCTCCTAAGTTAAATCCATATGCAAGCGTAATCATTCCCAGATAGCGGTCTGCTCATGGTAACTGTGTCAGGGCTGTAAGTTTACTAAAACTTTTATGGAAGAAATATGGGGGTATAATGGTAAATGGCAGATATTTCAAGGTTAGCATTAATACACAGTCCCAGGAATAACTCACAGTCACACTCCTGGGAACAGTTTTGTTTCATTTTTAAGATAGCATTAAATGTACTTGTAGAATTTGGGGAAACAAGACATTATTTAGTTTAATGATGCAAAACTACCTTGCAACTAATTGATTATCCTTTCTACCAGCTAAATTTGAGCTCTCCACTGTAATAATACAATTCCAATTCCTAAGTGAAACTAGGTACAGAGAGACAGGAAGTTTATTGCAACTTTTTGTTTCTGTAATGAAAAAGAGGAAACATGCTGTAATTTAATATTGGTAAAAGTTGGATCAACATATTATGTCCCAGTCTGCTTGAGAAAATAAGGAAACTTAACAGGCACATAGTTCTAGGAAGATGGTGGGCATTGTCTTCTGTGTAACAAACACATTGTACGTTCTCTTCTGTGTTATAAATAAAAAACATTGTCTTCTGTGTTACAAATAATTGTTGAACTTGAAAACCAGGTCCCAAGATTAGAAATATCCCTATTTTAGACATATAGTCAAAAATACTCTGTCCATTTCACTCAAACAAAGGTATTCAGAAACTTTATGTCTGTCCAGGCCGTACAATGTGAAGAGTTTCTGAGCCACACATTTTGTTGGAAAAATCATTCATATATCTCAGTTATTCAATTTAAAGCAGTTCTGAAAAATATTATCTTTGTGCCATCCAGCCAGTTAGCCATAGGAAAGTTAGCCTAAAAATAGTGTCCCTACTGTATCTATCATGCAGATGGTTTTCTGATTCTTTCTCCTTCCCTAGAAAACCATCATAGCATAATTAGCTGGCTTTGGTTCGAAATTCAAAATTTCTACTGCTGGATTTCCATTGTCCCCATGAAGAGAGCTTTTTATATTCTTGGGGGAAATAGGCCTTTGTAACTCTGAAAATCCACTGGGCTAATTGTCTTCCTTATAAGGTCTAGAGACTTTATACACAGTATTGAACAGTTGTATCAATTTGCAGTGCTTCAACACCGGGTAAAGTTATTTCCCTTTCCTGGAGCAAATGTATCAGACTCATAGTCATTTCCAAAAGAGTATACCATGATTTATGGCGTTTCTTATTAATATTCTGGTTATGTTATTTCTTTACCTGACTAAATCCAATTTGTCCTTTAAAACTTGGCTATAGTGTCATCTCCAAAAGGCCTTCCTCAGGCCCTGGTTTTGGTTAGATGTCCTTCCCCTTGGCTCCCTTTGCACCTTTGTAAAGTTATAATACTGCATTTATCATACAGTATTTAAAGAGTCAGCCATCTCCTCTCCCCCTTGTTGAGGTAAGGAGCTGTGATTTTCTCATCTCAATATCCCTTAAGATCCAGCACAATTCATGATACCTGGTAAACAATCAATAAATGTAGGCTAAATGGATAGAAGAGAGGTGGATAGATGGGGAAGCCATTAGTGTAGAGTCTAAACCTTTTTTGTGCCATGGATCTCTTTGGCTGTCTCATAAAGTATTTGGACCTCTTCTCAGAGTGACTTTTTAAGTGCGTAAAACAAATACATGAGATTACAAAAGAAATTAATTATATTGAAATATAGTTATCAAAATATTTTTAAAATAAATTTGTGATATAGTAATATGTGCATCTTTATTAACATATTCTCCTTGCATATGAAAATAATGAGATATAATAGCAGTCAGAATTACTATTGCAAATTTATAGTGATAAGTGTAAATAATTTTTTAGTATCTAATGCAAGTTTACTGTGATTTGAAAATATCCTTAATTTTTATAGGTGAAAAAATATAGGCATTACTAATACTGCTATGGTTTGTTGCCTGTATTCATAATTGAAGGAAATACTAAATTATAGGTAGAGGTTAGCAAAATAAAGATGTAATTTTTTCCCAAGTTTACATAACCCACTGCCCCCCACCCATGAACCTGCATGGACCTATAGACTGCAAGTGAAGAAGCCCTACTTTAGAGAAGCTAGAACAGGTTAGGTAGCATGGTAGTGTGTCTCGGGCATTTGGCCTTAGAACAAGAAACCATGATATGCTGCACTAAAGAGACTAGGTTATATTGAATTACTGGGGAGCCATTGAAGGGCTTAAGCAAGGGGGTAATAATCAGGGTGATACTCAGAACACTTGACAACCATATGACATAGGTACTGACCAATCAGAACATATGCCAGCTGTGAACAGTTCAGAGGTACCAGTTCATGTCAGCTCTAGGAATATGGTAAGAGTAACAAATGAGAGGGACTATTTTGGGGGAAATGTGTGGCAGAATATTGGCAAAGAAGATATCTGAGGTGGGGAGACTATTTACGAGGCTTTCACAAGATCTAAGGCAGTGGGATTGGGGGATAGAAATATTTAGGAGGTAGAGTCAAAGGCACTTAGTACTGCCAGGATATAAGGTGATGGAGGTGGAGGAATCTAAGATGATTTCTCTGTATCTGGATCTGCAGTAAGGCAGGGAATATGGGAGGAGAAGCAATAGCAAGTTGTGGGAGCAAGTAGTTCATTTTAGTACTTGTATGTGAGATGCCTGTAGGACATCCAAGTGGGCATATGTCTGGCAGGTAGCTGGTTGTATGGGTTGAAGCTTAGAAGAGTAGTTTGGGCTGAATTTTGATTTGGGCCTGATAAGGCTATAGTTGAAGCTGTGAGCATGGATATTGGCAGCCTAAGGAAGTATGCAGTATAAGGAAAGAAGACATCTGAAGATTGATCCTTGGGGAACTCAGCTGAAGGGCTGAGAGGAAGAAGAGGAGCCAGGGAATAAGATGGGAGTGGAGGGGGGAGGGGTGGGAATGAGAACCAGGATGGAATAAACCAAGGCAACAGAATCAACTGTACACTTTCGCCACCCCAATCCCAATTTTTCTGGAAGCCTCTAGGGTCTGCTCTGCTTTATGAGGCACCTGGTGTGTCCAAGGCAAATAGGAGGTCA